GGGGCAAAGGGTTTCATGCTTATGCTATAGGTGTATGCTTGGCTATAAGTGACAACGGTGCGTGTTTCGAGATGGCGTAAGATTTGGGGAGGTGCCGGTAGCCAGGGTTTAGGGAAAGGAAGGGATGTGGGAAAGGGGAAAGTGATGGACGAGGGCTGGTGGATGAGCGTTTGAGAGATCATGGTTGTACTTCGGTGCTGACGTCCTAGAAACGAGGTCGTTGGGTCAACCGGACTGGGCAAAGTGACGATCTTACTAGGAGTTTGCACAGCACAAAGCATTCACTACCCGAAAAGACAACATGTCGAATATTTCGGTATTTCCTAGTGCCAAACCTAGCTATCCAAAACGCAAGCAACCACCATCCACCACCATCTCCTCTCTCCCCTCAGCATCCAAAACAGCAAAAGCCACCCTCCACTAAACAACCACAAACCACACCCTCTCTCTCCTACCCAACAGGCGGGATATCGTAGAAATGATAATCAAGATAAAGCATTAACCCTTTGTCCTCGAGAGTAGGCCCCGGAAGCAAGGAGTCATATATACAATATCGCTTCCAGCGCTCTCAACTCACTCACTCACTCTCCACAGAAACAATCAACAGCAAGAAAGGAAAGGTTGCGCCACATGGGATATGCGGCGGGGTATAGAACAAACGTCAATCAGCCGGGGTGGGTGGGTAGGTAGGTAGGTCAGGGTCGTATGTACCGAAGTAGATGTGTGTTTGGCGTGATTTACTGGAGGAACGTCGAAGAAGGTGTATTTTTGTTGCGCAAAGCAAAGGCTTGCGCGACAGGGGACGGTTAAGGAGCGTATTAGACACTAGACCCGAAGGCAGTCTATGGTTCGCGCTGATCGTGACAAAGCAGAAGTGTAAGTGGTCCAGCGGCCATGGCGTGTTCGAGGGTCTCAAAGGACCCCTGGAGGGGTAGAACGACGGCCGATGATCGGGGGTGTGGTGGACCAAGAATCGAAGGTATCGCAAAACGGGAAGAGCAACGCGTAAATCAAACATCATCGTGGCGACATTACTATTTGGAGACAGGGTCGGAGCCGATAAGTGTACTAGACCCCAGGGAGTGGACGTCTGGTGTGCTCGAGAGTAGTGGCCGTGTTAGCGAATTGGGTGGTGCTGCGGATGCGACTCGACTTTTGCCCTTTCCATACCGCGCGTAACGTGGTGGGCGTTCTGAGGTTGGAGATGACAAGGGAGCAACTAGGGAGCGTTAACAGACCCAGGCACGGAAGGACATCTTAGGGGCTTGGAGGTATCCGGTCACCTCCGCTTCCATGCCCGCCAGAGTCTGTGCTGTCGCCTTCAATCGTCTTCCTCCAGTGCTGTGGCAAGCACACGCAGACCAAGGGGAAAGCCTTGATCTCGCTGTCGGATTCGACAGGTGATCGTCGGCCGCCGTTGCTTACGCCGGAGTCGCGCTGCTCGGCTTTCCGGGCTTCCCACTGCTCTGCCGATTCGGAAAGTCTTACACCTGTCGCCCAGCCGTCATCCCAGATGCCAACCACCTTGAGCATATCTCCTCTTTCTAGCTCGAACTCGTCGCCGGCACGAGGTTGGTAGGCCCAGAGAGTGGCAACAGTGTCGTTCGGGTGGATATCGTCCTGGGAATAGTAGTCTTTGAAGAACTGTAGCTGCTCGGACTGGCCGGAAGCGACACCATCCGGGCTGGAGAAGTTGCGCGTCTGGTCAGATCCAGAGAGTGGTGAAGAGCTCGCCCCGAGAGCAGAGTGGCTGGAAAGAGAACCTTGTCGTTTGGGGAGGTTACCGGCGAGATGGCCACGTATCGACTCGGGTGAATCATAAGCACCGAGTTGCGAGCCACCGTATGCGGTCATACGGCCGCCTCGATCGCTGTTCTGGCCCGAGGACTCTGATCCTTCCAAAGCCGACATACGCTGAACACGCGCACCGGGGAGAATGGTAGCGGGCGATTGACCGTCGCCTCCGTAGCTCATAGGTGGCATGGGTCCCTTGGGAGAGTGGCGTCGCGATGGCGATGGCGTGTTGAAGACGCTTCCAGCCTGGCTGTTCTTCTTGTGTCGCATGCGCATGCAGCAGAAGATGGCGGCTGCGATGATTACCGCAGCGCCGACGAGTGCTCCAATGACGATACCAGCGATGGCGCCTCCAGAAAGACCAGAATCACCTCCACCAGATCCGGCGCCGGCAGTGGAGCTCGGGGAAGAGGACGAAGTGCTTGAGGGGAACACGGGAGGCATCGAGACGGTTGTAGGTAAGTCGATACCTACGCAGCGCGATTCGACATTTGCGTTGACGCAGCAAGAGTCCGTAGAGTTGACGGTGCTGGTGGAACAGAAGAGGCAGAGTCCTTGGAGGTTGCCATTGTATCCACATTCGCTGGGCTCGTTTTCGGTCGCGTCGATACAGCTGCTGCTGAGAGAGTTGGCAGGGTTGGAGCAGCGGGCGAAATCAGAGCGGATTTCTGGGACTGCATTGTTACCAGGCGTACCGCACAGATCCGGGCTTGATACGATGACCTGTTCGCTGATGGCAAAATCGGCCTGAGATGGTCAGCATTTCGACGCGGTATGGGACGACAAAGACGATCTACATACGCAGGCACCAGCACAAAGTGGAGTCGCTTCCGTGTCGCCGAGTCCGCAGCTGTTCTTGGAGGATTGGATGATGGCGTTACAAAGGACAGTCGTTGTGTAACGAGCATAGAGGTTGGTGGTGCTAGTAAGGTTGACGCTTGAGCATCCCAATATATTCTCGTACCTGGGATGCGTTAGTTTTCCTGGTGCATATGAACAGTCGCGTGGTACGACTTGAACTAGACTGACTGTCGCTGTGCATATCCGGTACCGATGTAATTCTTCAAGCCCTCATCGAACGACCGAGTGTCTGACACGTATTGAAGAAATGGACTATGCGCGTTCACTGTTAGCCAACACTCTGTCTATCAAAACACATTTGACGTACAAGTTCGCGGTCAAATTGGTGTCGACAGAGGCGGAGGAAAAGGCCGGGCAGGCGGTTGAGCCCTGAAGCGACACGCAACTCCGTTGAGCCATTGCGGACGGTATCGATGCGGCGACGACAGCGAAGACAGCAGCCCTTTTTATTCCAGAGCGGGATTGCTTTTGGGAACAGGAGGTAGTAGTTGGGCGACGATAAGGTTCGGAGAGAATCATAGCGCCAACATGGTCGCAGCACTGGCACGGGCGCATGCTGAGTATATCTGTACGCGTAGAAGCTGTATGGCTTGTCGATAGATCCAATCCTAGGAAGTGGCCGTGGTGGAGTGTAGTAATCGACGATGGCGGGCCAGTAGGAGACGCGCAGCTTCACGAGTCCATTCGCGACATGTAGATAGGCCTCGGGGATGGGGTATATCTATGTAGGTGTCGAGATGGCGATGCAAGAGTATTAGAAAATAGAGACCGTATCGGTGGGGTGCCGGTCTAAGAAGGGAAGGAGAGGGCCTGGCTCGCAGTGGCAGAAAGAGCGTACTGGGTAGGGAAGCTGCGATGGGCCTCTACAGTGGAGAGAGGAAGGCACGCTTGAGCCTTGGGGGATGGTCAACACGCACGAACAGCGAGGCTACCGCGTCGGCTAGCTCCTGCTTCGGCGTCAGGGATCAGGGGTCCGGTCGTTCTTTCTGCGCGCGCTGATTGGGCTGACCCTGCCGAGGGGAAATGAGATGTACCTGGCCTAAAATTATCCTCCGATGCTTTTCGTCTCAGGTGCCTGGCGACGGATTGCGACTCCAGCTGGTCGAGTGATTAGGTATAAGACGGTTGTTTATACGACCTCGACAACGACCCACCGCATGCCCACCGTGTGCAACCTCTCTCGACGGCAGCCCGCAGCGCTCCACGCTGACCCGCAGTCATCTGCAGCACAATGCAGCAAGACGCATGCGGCATAGCGTCTGCCTGCACACACTAACAGTTGAACCGACCTGCTGGATTAGTCCGCTGTTTCAATATACAAATACTGCTGTCCACCGCGCAACCGGTCCGCTGCGGATGGCATTGTTGTGTTGCAGCGCATAACGTCGAGCCTGTGCCTGAGACCGTCCGCCCTCAGCACAACCACGTCGCTTCGTCTCACGACGCTCCCCGCAATTGTGGACGCCTATGCGACGTGGCCATGCGCTGTTCGAACGGCGCATGGGGCTTGCGGAGCCTCCAGCCTCGTTCTTAGCGTCGTCCATCGTTCTGTTTACTGTGCGCTCTGCGTAGCTTTCTGCAGCGCCCGTTGACCCTCGGCCCTTTCCTACTGCAGACTAGCTAACGGCCCGCTCCCTCAACCAGAACCATTGTTTACTCTGAGCCTGCGACGATCCGCCCTGATCTGCATCACCAGCCATATCCACCACATCTACGGTGGATTCGAGTTCCCTAGCATGTGTTGCGTCACTATCACACCTAGTACGCCGCAGAGGACCACTACCGATGACTGACGTCTGTGTCACGATGCACTTACGCCGCATCACCATTACATGCACTGCCTGTCCAACTCTGGTCCCCAGCCTTCTTTCACTCCAGAGTCGAAGATCAATCTGTCTCGTTATTGGGATCATCTCTCAAAACTCTCTGTGATCTACGCTATCAAGATCCAAGCGTCCAGCCATCCTCTCCACCGTCAATCAGCCACGTCCCAAGACTTTCCCCAGCATTCAGAGCATCAGTCACCATGGACTCCTTGTCCTCAGTCACTATGCAAGCTTTTGCGGCGTCATCACGTCCACAGTTCTCAGGCACGGAGCATCTGACACTGCTTGTTTTAACTTTGCGTCTTGCGGGGATGTGGTCAATGCGACTCAGGCAAACCTGACTTCCGGATTGAAGTCTATCTTGGACTACTATACTCGTTGCTCAAGACGTCGCTAATCGTTTTTAGTCTTGTGCAACATCAACACCTTTCCGGGTATAAAACGCCTATCCATGTCGGAAAAGAATATCGCCGTGAACACTCGCCGAGATGTACTAACTTACGCAAGCACCCAAGCCGCCTAGAAGTGGCCGGTCTTATCACCATGAGCAATGCAGCTCTTCTTGAGCTCCGACTTGATCGTCTCCGCGGACCAGGATTCCTCGACTGGAATCTCTACATGCGCAACGCTGAAGGGCGCTGCATCTGCAAGGGATGTGATCTTGGGTCGCTTGTTTACCTGCATCTGGAGGTTGACACATGCCGGCTTGTCGCCCCTGGCCGTTGTGATCTATATAATTTTGTTAGTATATGAGAAGAGACAAAGTTTGGGCTTCTTTCGGGCTTCAACTTACACCTTGGTTGTCGAGTCGGAAGTTCTTGAGGTCAGTGTAGATGGTATCGCTCTTGAAGCCGCCTTCTAGCTTGGAGTCCGGAATGCTATCGATGAAAGCCATCATGGCCTTGCGAGTCTTACCCATATCTGTGGTCTTGTACGCTTGCTCTTCTATAGATCTCTGGTTGAGGCTGGTGAGTAAAGAACGCACTTGGGCCAAAGAGGACCTCCATATTAGGAGGGCGACAGATCATTGTGCGTGCGAAGTGATGTGAGTGAATATGCCAAAAGAGACCAGATGGACTTCACAATACTGACGCGGCACCTTGGGATTGATGGTGTTGCCACGACGTCAGATATGTTCACTTTTCAGTGGTGACGTTGTTGAAAATGAAAGACAAACAAGGGAGCGTACTGCTTCCCCTTTGCGTCTAGTCACAACTTCTCACTTCCATTTCCAGTCTTCAACCACACCACAACCACCATTTTCCCAAACTTAGCTGCACACTATGACGACGACACTTCTTCCGCGACGTAAAGTCAATCAGCCAGGCTTAGAATGGGTAGAAGACGTCTTCAGCATTGAGCCATGCTGGACCGAAGAGCCATCGATAGAGACTATCGCAAGGCTGACACGCGATAATCTGAAACTATCGGAAGCAGAATCAGTCACTGTGAAAGCCTTCGCCGAGGGCGCTTTCAACAAGCTGTTCTCTATTGACTGCACCAAAGGTCGATCCATCTTCCGCGTCACTTTACCCGTCGCACCAGTCGTCAAAACCAGCAGCGAAGTCGCAACTTTGGCTTTCATTCGCGAGAAAACCGATATCCCAGTACCGCACGTCATCGCACACGATGCAGACCTTTCAAATGAGCTTGGCTTCGAGTGGATGCTGATGGAGCGGGTTGATGCATGCCCTCTACACGAAGTCTGGCATGGAATGTCCTGGATGAAGAAGGGCTTGTTAGTCAAGCAGATGGCAGAGCATGTGGCACAACTGTTCAATATCGAGCTATCTGGTATTGGTAGTCTAGGTCCAGCCGACGAATCTCTCGCCAACGCGGATGGACAGTCTACACATCCAGTCGGCGAGATCGTCCAACCCGCCTTCTTCAAAGGCGACAACATCACCCTAGACATCGCCCGCGGACCCTTCCGAAGCGCCCACGAGTACCTCACCGCCCGTCTCCAAATCCTCGAGCATTTCGCCAGCAAACTAGACCAAGAAGATGAAGACGACTTAGAACACTACTCGGACATCCAAGCCGTACTATCAAGTCTCCGCACTATCATCCCACGACTCTTCCCAGACAACAGCAGCTCGGCAGCAGAACCCACAATCCTCTGTAACCGCGACATGAGCACCTCAAACATCCTCGTCAACCCCCAAGGCGACCTCATCTCAATCGTAGACTGGGAATGCGTCGCAACGCTCCCACCCTACTTCGCCGTCCAACTCCCCCAGTTCCTCAAGGGGCCCTCGCGGACAACTCCTCCCGCATTTACCAGCGACACCGCGTCCGAGGTACACAAAACAGAGCTGGAACTCTACGAAACGACTTGTCTGAGGAAGTTCTTTTTGGAGGAGATGGCGAGGATTTGTCCGGCTTGGGTGAGAGTCTTTGAGAGGGAGAAGGTTCGGGCTGATGTGCTTGTTGCGATGGATAAGTGTGAGAATGATATGACGGTTAAGTGGGTGAGGGCGTGGCTAGATGCTGTTGTTGAGGGGAGGGAGCCGAGGGTTAGTTTGACGGATGCGTGTCGGAATCCGTTGGGTGCTGCGTAGACGATAGAGTTGCCAGGGTAGTATGTGTTCATAGCAGAAATTGCGATTCCAGGTCCGAAATGCGATTGGGTATCATTCAACGCCTCTTCCTCCTCCTCCTCTCTAACCCCTTGCTTATATCCCATAACTTTTATCAAGCCCCCAAGACCACATGAAAGCGTCTTCTCAAAAGAACTTGACACCCTCGCCCTCACCCCCCGACCCAAAAACCTGCGCCCTCCCCCTCTTAACACAAACCCCCAAACTCCTCTGCAACAACTCCAAATCCATGCCAAAGAACTCCTCCCGCCGACTCGCATCCCCCTCGACAATCTCATACAGCGTAAGCACCGTACCCTTCTGCCCCGTCCTCTCAACCCACTCCTCCAACGCCGCAGCCCACTCCTCCGGCCTGCGCCAATATATCCACGCCTTGCCACCCTCGCTCTCTTCCCCCGCCTTCGCCTTCTTCGAGGAACTCGTGTGGATGAATTCAGCCCGGTTGCCGCCTTCAGGGGAGGCCATGTAGGTTATGATGGCTTTTGCGTCGCGCAGGGAGAGGCTGCGTCGCAGCGTGGTGTTTGTGAAGAGGGGCGTGGGGAGCGCGTCGATGAGGGAGAGGGTGAAGATGCGGTTGTGGCGGCAGTAGGACTGGATGAGCGTGGACCAGGAGGCTAGTTGTGAGGAGCGCGTGCTGGCGACGGGTTGGAGGGTGAAGAAGGGCGGGAAGGAGTAGTGCGGTGGGAAGACGAAGTTGGGGGACGTGAGCGTTGTTGCTGTCGAGGGTGTGGGCGTGGGTGTTGAGGCGGGGGCGGGGGATATTGCTGCCATGTTTTGTGTGGGTTGGTAGATAGTTGCAAGGGAAAGTGGAAGGAGTGAGCCTGTGTAACGGTTGCGCGTGTAGAGGGTTGATCGTTTGGTGCGCGCGTCGCTGGAGGTCTGCGGGGACTTTGCGACGTCATTGGTTGCTTGGCTTGGGCACCTTTCATCTGCATCATGGGCACAACTACACACGACAATATTCAATGCACGGCTACTTTGAACCTGCCTTTCGAACTTTCTGTTTTCATTCCGCCAATCTGCCATGATCAGTGGACAGGTGAATATGTTGCGACTTGGCCATTCGATCCCAACTTACATCGATCGCTCTTATCAAAGAGAATAGCACGTTTCACATGAGTGTGCATTGCTTTGCTTATTTCGACCGCCATGCTATTTTACTCTTGTTGCATTCTACAGACTGGTATCGTTCTATTCTCGATCACTCTGATGTCACCTGCAGAGGTGATCGTGCTTACAAAAGTCACCCCACCTAGGCAGCCACATTCGGATTAAGAAACTCATCAAGACAGAGCATTTTGGTGTGGGGTCCTTCTCATATCTTTCTTTCTGGCACTATGTTCTGTGTTGGTCATATTTTCTCGTTGTTTCAACATATATACTCAATTGTCGTTGATAGCGTCGTCGAAACACGTATTACAGATTAGAGTAAGCTCATCAGAAAACTTGCGTATGTCTGCTTCTGCGTGCTGCAGCTGATCGCGAAAAGCTTCCACAAATTGACCTACAGTAACGCCATTGTCGTTTTCCGCAAAGAGATCGTACTTGCGGGCTGTGTTTCTGTGAGCCCTATATGCGAACACGACGTCGATGCGTTGGAGACCTGGCGTACACAGAAGCTGGTCCATCCAATCACTCTTCTTGGGTAAAGGATTGTTCTTGCTGACTTCCAACAACTCTTGCAGATGTTGGAAAGATTCGAATTCGAACCAGGGTCGTGGCTTACCGGAGTTTCGTATCTTTGCTCTGTCGAATAAGCGTTCGTCGACGTGGTGCATGCACTGCTCCATGTTGTCAATAATGTCGTGGAAGGCGTTATCGCGAGTAAATTCGAAGATAGGTTCGGGGTTCGTGGACGCTTCGTTGAAGTCGACTTCCAGGACTATCACGGTCCGCGGGAAAGAGTTGGGGAGGCCTTTCAGCTCGATACTCGTTCTCAGATTCACGGTGATTGTGGCAATATCGCTGTCGTCATCGTCGCTGTCGGTACTCGCATCGTCCGTGTTGTCGTCCTTCTCCTCGTTCTCGCTGTCATCGTTCTCGTCATCTGAACCAGCTTCATTCCGTAGTATCTTCGGAGGGGCGTCTGGGATTGCGTTCCCAGTCAGTATGCCTGAATCGGATTTATCGGTGCTGTCCTTTGTATTCCCCTGCATGTTGTTTGGTATCTCCGGTGGTGCGATAACCTGTGAGAATGGATCGAGGTTGATGATAGTAGGGATAGCGACACTGGGGTGTTAGACCTTATACTGCGCCGGAGATCACGTTCATCGAGCGACATGTGTGTCCTAAGACAAGTCCACATGACCATCAAGATATATTGCTAATGTCCTCATTGTTTGACAAAGGTCTCTTCATTTCCTAGACTCATTCTATCTTCTTACCTCCCAAATCATGCCATCCGGTTGATACTCAATCCTCATGATTCTTCTCCCAGCATTCACCGCAGTAGACCAACATCTCTTCGGGAAATCCGCGTATGTCCTCCTCAATATGTTTCAACTGATCACGGAAAGCCCTCACAAACTGACCCATTGTAACTCCGCATCCGCTTTGCCCACGAAGCTTATATTTGCGACGCCCACGGGTGTAATACGTATAGTCGAAGACCACGTTGATGCGCGGCTGAGCTGGCTCACACAACAGCATATCTTTCCACGAGCCATCGTTTCTGCTACGCGAATGTTTTCGCATCCGTTCCAACACGTCATCGATAGAATCGAATGAATCGAAATTGAAGTTCCTATATGGCTTCCCATTGCTTGACTGAAATACTTTGTCGACGAGGTCCAGACGCTCTTCCAGATTTAGAAGAATCAAATGGAAGTTCGTGCCGGAAGGAAAGTTGGATAGTTGATCACAGTCATCAGGGCGAAACCCACAACCGTAGTCTGTGTTGAAATCGACTTCGAACCTGATCATGGCCTCTGGGAAGGAGCCGGGGACGCAGAGCAAGTCGGCAGCTGCACGTAGATTGACTGTGACGGTGGGTACATTTTCCTCCGTCTTGTCAGTAGTATTGCTCAGATTTTTGTCGCTGTCGCTGTTTTGGTTCTTGTCATCATCATCTGCTCCTTTGTTATGCTCCGTGTTCTCTTTCTTGTCATCTGCTTTCTCTCCACTTCTAGTCTCATCTATAGGCGGCACTACCCGATCCTTAAACATCTTGTCGCGGAGCACTGGATCAGTGCTCTGGATGTTATTACGCCACTCCGTGCACACTCGAAGGGAGCGAAGAACTATATTCAGAGTCAGCGGCAAGCATCTGGATCAAGAGCCCACAACACATTCGGGAGAGCAGATTCGCAGAGTGAACTTACGATCAGGTAGATCTAGAAAGCCAAATATGTTCTGCCATATCTCGTTTGGAAGATGATAATTGGCGCCATCTGTCGGCACGTCAGGTT